TCTTCTCCTGCTTTTCCTTCCTAGAAGAAAAGACAGCAGACGATTCTAAGTCTCCGTTAGAACCAGAACGTGGCCCTGGTCTTTGTAGCTAGAAGGTGGAGGCCGAAGTGTTTCCATGACAGAGTAACACGTAAAGAACGTTCCAGATCTGATAAGGAGGCGTCACGCTTTCATCACCAAGTTCTGATTCCTTGTGGACACACTTTGGTGACATGAAGCGAGTTCTGACCAAACCTGTTTTCAGACTGTCCAGGTGTTTCTCTCTGACGACGTCTGAGCCGCTGACGACCAGCTCTCACCACAACATCAGACAACATTCCCAGAAGTCACACTTACGCCTTCTTTTCTTTTCTCTCCTTCTTCTCCTTCTTCTCCTTCTTCTTCTTCTTCTTCTCCTCCCTGGAAGACAGCAGCCATGGTGAGCATGCTCAGTAACGTGTGGTGTTACTGAGCGTGCTCAGTAACATGTGGTGTTACTGAGCATGCTCAGTAACGTGTGGTGTTACTGAGCGTGCTCAGTAACTTGTGGTGTTAGCATCCTGCATTAATGTGTCGCTCTGTCTGGATGACGCATCGTGTTCGTGTGCTGCTGGTTTCTTACTCGTCCTCGTTGTTGTTGCTGTTGTTGACGTTGAACAGAACCCCTGGTCCTGCTCTCTGACCCGAACTGAAACACAACACAAATTATTAGGACTTCACAAGCAGGTTCTTTTCATATTTAGGAGGTGAAACAGATTGAACTCATGTTCAGTCATGTAACTATCATTTTTAAATTAGATTCAGTTAAACTGTGAAGACATTTAACCCTGACCCTCCCTCTCTGGTCTCCTTCTAGCACCTCCTTCAGAGGAGTCATAGGAGTCTTGGTGGCCTCCCTCTCTAGTCTCCTTCTAGCTCAGTCTCTGAGGACGTCCTGCTCTACTCAGATCTACTCATGGTCCATATTCCTTAATGATGGATTTAACTGGACTCCAGAGATGTTCAGGAACTTGGAAATGTTCTGGTATCGTCTCCTGACTGATGCATCTCAACAACCTTTTCCCAGAGTTCTTGGAGGGTTCTTCAGTCTTCATGGTGTAGTTCTAACCAGGAGTTCTGACCCACCAGTATCTGGACCTTCCAGATACACCAGTCTACAACCACTGAGACACATTCACTGACCTCAGATGATGCGTTCACTGACTGTGGGACTTCTACACCACCTGGCTGCACCAGAGTTCAACTGGAACACTTGAACTTGAATTGTGATGCAGTCACTTCTGCTACGTTTCATTATCTGACATCACTTTATAGAAATCTGCTTTTACTTTGACATGAGAGTCTTTTTCTAACATCTTGTCATCAAAGCCTGATTAGATTGGCCATGATGTAATGTTGGCACCGTACATTTCTGAATATCTGAACTGGTTTCACTGGACGTCAAGAACCTTCTGGAGGACAGTGACACTATCACACCTCCTCCAGCCACAGTGGAGAACCTCAGACCACCTGAGGACCTGAAGCGTCCTCCAGGGTGGACAGGAGCAGACGTCTTCTCCTCACTCTCATTATGTGCACTTTGATTGTTGGTGTAGTGACTCACCAGACGTCAGCTGGCTCCTCCTCCATGTCCTGCAAAACGATGGTGGGCGGAGCTAACCTGGCGGCGAGGGGTGGGGTCGATGGAGCAACTTTCGCCATGACGATGCTACAGTGACACAGAGAGACGCTGCTGCAGATTCATGGTGACAACACAAACAGAACCAAATCATGAACTGTGCTGAACATCACGGACTCAGTCCAACGTGGCTCAACTTCACATGACCCAGGCGTCGTCTAGAACGTCTGTAAATATGTCCAGGATGATCAGAAGTTCTGCAAAGTGACTTAAACTCATCAAAATGGTTTTTAAATTGTCCAGACTGACTCGGAGGTTGTCCATGAAAACATAAATGTTGATTAAATGACTCCAACTTGGTCCAAAGTGTTCACTGAGTTCCAGTCGGTGGCGGCCTCCAGGTGCACCAAGGAGCTCAGAATCACTTCACTGTTCAACCAACTGGATTATTCTGTCGTATTGTTCAGACACGTCAGCATGAACATCAGACAGAATGAAGGCATGTTGCAGAAGACCGTTGCCTTCTGAAACACGTCTTCAGGTTTTCTCTGAACATGAAGCTGTGGAGCGCCGTGAATAAAACTGAACAGATTAAAGCGAGCGTTTCCATCATGGCAGCTGTACCGTCTGTCCGGCCTCACCATTATCTCCGTACTCACCTGTCTGCTGATAATCCGTCACCCTCGGTCACTACATCCACCGGCTGTCCATCAGAGTCATCACCATGGAAACAGAGGAGTAACCGCACACGCTCAGAAGCCCCCCTGAAGTCGTCCACAGGTCAGCATCCGCAGAGAAAGCAGGAGAAGACGAGGAGACAGAGCCGAGTCTCCCTGGTCACCCTGACAGGGATAAAGAGCTTAGAGGACGGATGATACTGAGCGTCCCGCCTGCAGCCCAGCCTTCATCACGTCTGAACGGAGACGAGCGCTCGCAAAGTGTCCACATCCGGCCTCTGTCTGTCCCAGTCCCTTGGCAGACAAGTCTGAGTGCAAAAGGGGACGGAGATGTGTTGGAAATGACTGAGAAAATGTCCAAAGTTACGTCAAATATGTCAAAAATAACTGAGAATGTGTTGAAAGTGACTCAGTAGATGTCCCCAACGGCTCAAAACCTGTCAGAGGACCCAGAATGTGTCCTCAATGAGGCAAACTACTTCAAATGACTCAGAAATTTAAAAAAAAGAGTAAAAGAAAGTGTCTGAAATACCGCAAAGCTGGTTCCAAAAGACTCCAACTGACAAACTACAAATTCAGCCAGAAGTTGTCAAATGATGTCTGAAACATGTCCAAACGATGTAAATGTCTTCAAACAGAACAAAAGCTCCTCAAAATAAATCTAATGTTGTACAGAATGTCACCAAATTGGTTCAAAACTATTCAATGATTACATCCCAGACTATTCAAAGTCTGTCCAAACGGACTCACCAGTCGTCCTAAATGACTTGAAACTCACCAAACAGGACTGAAAATCTGTCTAAATGACCCGATATTCGTCCAAAATCTGTCCAGAATGTCTCAAGGTGACTCTACGTGTGTCTATAAATGACTTGGAGTGACTAGAACGTAGTCCAAATGGCTCCAAACCTGTACAGTGAGTTGAGATCGGTACACGATCCCTCAGAAATGGTCTCAAATGTCCAAAACTTTGTCCGACTCACAAATTCTGCTGAATTTTGTTAAGACAACGTGAAACTCGTCCAGAATCATCAGACTCGTTCACCGTGACTAAAATGTGTGCAGAATGACTCGTGAGACTTGTGCTGGAGCAGTGGAGGCCCGGTTACGTTGTGTGGATGCTTCCTGTAGCTACGACCCCTGGTGACCCCGCCACTGATTGACCGAGGCACCGAGTCAACAGCTGGACGCTGCTGTTGGACACGTTACCGCCACACATGGACAGAATGTCCGCCGAGGACCCGGAGGTCCAGTTTGGTGGGAGAGGAGGCGATTAGAGGAAGCCTCCTGAGTCAGCAGCGCAGCTCTCAGGACGCGCTGCAGCTCTGATTGGATTATGAGGAATTAGACCCGAGTGAGTCCGTGTGCGTTCAGCAGCGCTCATTTCTGATTTAATAACCAGCCCGCTCAACAGTTTGTGATTATGGAAGGTCCAAAATCCATCAACACTGGGTCCAGATTACTCTAGATCTGGTCCTAAATGTCTCCAACATGACTCAGAGTTTTTTCTCCAGGACTTAGTTGGTCTGAAGCGGGTTTAAATGAGTCCAAAGTTGCCCAAATGACATAAAACGTGCCTCCATCACCATGGCAACCCAGCAGGCTTCTCTAAGTCTGAGATCTGGTTAAGCTCTCCAGTGACAAAGCAGAATTAGTTTAAGAACCGTCAGACAGTTTTTGCTGCTTCGAGCTGATGAATGAAATCATTTTGGTGATTTTAAACCAACAGAAGGGAAACGTGCCTCTGACACGCCGCCACTGATGTCAGGTTCAGAGGATGAAGCATCTGGAACTGTTGAACCGTCGCTCCAGTCTGGACATGGATGAGCTGAAGACATCGAGCTTTATTATTCCTGAAGGACATTCTTGTGCCACATAACGCTAAGAGAGAAAAACGGCACGACAAGAAATGTGGTGTCTAAAAAGTAGAAACACAACATAAATACATCAGTGACGTACCAGACGTCTGACAGTTATACTGATGGGATGAGTAAAGAAATGTATCCACGATGTGGTACAGGACCGTGTCCACAGACCAGCTTTGGCTTTGACACCTGATAAACGCAAACAGCAGCAGTTCTATGTCTGTGGCCGGCCCGGTCCGCCTTTGGCCCGGCTCTATAGACCTCCTTTGGTTCAAGGGTCATGACCTAGACCAGCAGGAATCGAATCCTAAATGTGAACATTTATGGAATCCTGGAAAACTGCTCCAACAGCGACGTGCCACACATCTGGATATGAGTACACAAACACATCTACACCCTCGATATCGACGCACAAACGTATTTAAAACGTATTTAAAACATAGTTATTAACTCACCGAAACCTCTAAAACCTAAATATCAATCCATACATGTATAAAACCAGGATAGTAAAGAACAAATGCATCAAACACTGAATAACGACCATCAAGTGTCAGAAACGTGCTGCCCCCTGCTGGCTGCTTCCTGTCACTACTGCTGCATCTCACTGGTTCCT